CGACGAAGGGCCTCTGGTGGCATGTAGACCAGTGTTCCTGGACACTTGGTCACCTTACTGCGGGTCATGGAGGGATTGGAGGCTGCGATCTTGGACATGCCAAAGTCGGTCACCTTGGCCTGGTGGCTGGCATTCAGGAGGATGTTGTTGCTGGACAGGTCTCGATGGAGGATGCCATTCCTGTGCAGGTGAGCCACTGCTAGAGCTATGTCGTGGGAGATGTTCACTTGGACATGGTAGGGTATGTCGGTTGGCGAGCTCTCCAGAAAGTGTGTCAGACTGTCCTTTCATCAGCTCCATGAGGAGAATGGGCTTGTTGGTGGTGGGGTCTTGGACCACACCCAGGAACTGGACAATGTTGGGGTGTTTCAGGTCTCGCAGGATCTGGCACTCCTGCTCAAATCGAGAGATGAAGTCAGAGAGTCCAGGGTCCTGGGAGTCAATGAAGACTCGATGGAGGATTTTAGCAGCACATGGCTTTTTATCCAGTGTTGCCTTCACCACCTTGCCATAGGATCCAGAGCCCAGGACCTGGGCTGTGTGGATCACCACATTCTGATAGCCATACAGACCTCTGAGGCTCAGAGATATGTCATTGGGGTCACCGGTCTAGAAGGTGGAAAATGACTGAAAGCACTGAAGTGTAAACCCTCGGCGCACTGTGACGCGCACGCGTAAGTAAACGCATGCGCCGTACTACTAATTGATGGACTGGGTTTAGTTTTAGCTGTTACACTCGTGGTCTCTTATGGGGTGGTATTTATGGGGTGGTATTCGTGTCAGTATTCAAACGTCGATTTTGCCGAGGCATTTCCGTTTTGCCGCGGCAATTGCCCCGGCAAAACCTGGGCCGAAAAATCCGGGACATTTGCCGCGGCAAGAATAACTAGCTGGGCCATGTTCAATCGTGTCAGTATTCTTGTCGTTGCCGGGCCTTTTGCCGCGGCAAAAGTGCTCTTGCCTCGGCAAATTGCCATTTGCCGAGGCAATAGACCAGTTTCACACTCACAGTGGGCGGAGATAATTGAACGTGACGTCACATCCGGAGTCCCGTTCTGGCTCCAGCAATGTATTGAGAAACTGGAACCGTCAGTACTTAGAGCGGCGCAGCACGTAGCTCTTACGGTATGCTCTATTTATAAGTTACTTTTGCGATATTGCAGTAACTGTAGTATATGCGTGAGAAAAAGAACGGACGCTCTAGCTTGTTCCTAAGAGCTACGTGCTGCGCCGCTCTAAGTACGGACGGTTCCAGTTTCTCAATACATTGCTGGAGCCAGAACGGGACTCCGGATGTGACGTCACGTTCAATTATCTCCGCCCACTGTGAAACTGGTCTATTGCCGCGGCAAATGGCAATTTGCCGAGGCAAGAGCACTTTTGCCGCGGCAAAAGGCCCGGCAACGACAAGAATACTGACACGATTGAACATGGCCCAGCTAGTTATTCTTGCCGCGGCAAATGTCCCGGATTTTTCGGCCCAGGTTTTTCCGGGGCAATTGCCGCGGCAGTTTAATTTTGCCGCGGCAAAACGGAAATGCCTCGGCAAAATCGACGTTTGAATACTGACACGAATACCACCCCATAGTCTCTTGCCAGCTCGCGCAGTCTGACGCGGGCTAACTACACTACTAGATAGCATGCGAGAGGCGATACACGCCCTGCGTTGTGACATATTATGGTGCCTCCAGGGTGCACAGACCGAGCGGATCAGGACGAGGTTTGGCTCGTTTTCACGGCATATCTCTCGAACGCAGTCGTTTCGGGAATTTTCAGGTTCGCGTAGTTCTGAAGCCGTTGGTATCGCTCATTAGCCACCTCGTGGCCTGTAGTGCCAGAATAAGCGTCGACACACACACACACACACACACACACAGCAAACCAACCCTGCGCACCGAGGGTTAATTAAAGTGCAAACCCTCGATGTTCGAGGAGGTTCGATACGCTTGAACCACCCCGAACTAGTGCATAAGCACCCTGCAAACCTTGTTTCACCTGTAAAGATGGCGAACTGCGTACGCGCTAATGGATGGGCTGGGCTATTGGCGTTTACTCGCGGTCTCCCGCTAGTAGCTTGCGGAGAGTCTGACACTGGCTAGCTACAGTAGTAGATAGCATGCGGGAGTCGATACACACCCTTCAATGTGGCTTCTTGTGCCTTCAAGGTACACAGAGCAAGCGGATCAGGTCGAGGTGAGCCAGCATACTGCGTCTAATACACGCATGCGCACCGCTTATTGATGGGTTGGGCCACGCAACGCTGTCCGCGACCGTGTCAGTTTGTCGCTCTCGAACGCAGTCGTTTCAGCAAAATCGCCATTTTAACTTTCTAGCCCATGTACCGCTAAAGCTGTTGGTATCGTTCATAAGCCGCCTCGTGGCCTGTAGTGCGAGAATAGTCGAGTCGTAGACAGACACTACAGTAACCCTCGCTGCGCATGCGCGCCGAGGGTTAATTATTATTATCGCACCAGGTGAAGCTGCGATACGCATGTTGTTTTATGGAAGGGCATGTGCTATAATACACTGAGCCTATCAACCATGCGAATTGACTTGGCGTAATAGCTACTCTTTACACTTTACTATGCAGTGTCCCTTGCACGGCAGTAACCAACCTGTTCTATATACACTGAACTGCCGTACCATTGTTTCGTACATGACATACTTCTGGCCTTCCAAAATGTATATACTGGCCAGACCCACGTTCCACAGGGAGAAAGGGGCAATGAAGCAAAAAGCTGATAGTTTGTAGTATATGCCTTATAAAGGTTCATGAATAATGTTATTGCAAATCACATGCTTAGGACATTATATGTACATATCCACCAACCATCCAGCTTAATTAACGAAGAAGATGGACCAAGCGTTACCTTCCGTTCCACTGACCTGACAGACGGTCTCTGGGAGGAAGAGCGAGGGGTGGAGCAAGCCGCTGGTGAGTTAATCCCACCAGAAAATTACTTCCACCTCTTTTTTGTGAGAATTTGCCTCCGTAAAATACATACAGATGAAAACGTTTTTGGCAAACTTCGGGGGACGCCCACTTTTCGCATCAGCGTTAGATTGTCACTTGCTACTGAAAGGTGCCACTTATTCTCCGGAAAGTTCTGTAACTAAAGCAAAGACGGATGTCAACAGCGATGCCGTTACGCGAAGAGGTCGAGCTGCCCTGGCTATTTCACCGACCTACGTATGACACTCTGCAATAACGAAACACACAGTTACTATCAGCATACCAGTAGAGAAGAGATCCTGCTTCCCATTGTGACGACCGAGAGTTAGCCGTGCACACTTTCGGAAAGGGCGTTCCTCAATTTTTCAGGCCAGGCCAGGCACGCCTCCTGGAACGCGGGAAACGCCGGTAATATATAACCCACGCGCAAAACTCTACGTCCGGGTAATAATACTTTAGTTCACAATGACCACACAGAACATTAGGTACTGATGGAAAATAGTAGGGATTCCACTGTTCCGTGACTTTTAGCTCTGGCCTTGTCCAAACCTGTTTTTCCATCCTGCATTGTGAGATGTTCAGCAAAGAGAAGTTTGTAACAGTAGTGTGGTGGGGACCAAGTGTACAGTGGTATACACACAAGCAACCATAGCGGGTTTATCTGTAACAATTTGCTGAAATGAAACTTTTCGACCACTTGAGTTCCCTCAAATACCATTAGTTATGAAACGAACAGGCTAAGTGTCAGTGGCTCCAGCCGCTAGCAGTAGTGCGACCAAATTATACAGAGCACAGAATATCAGTTGGTTTTACAACAGGCTCTTGTGAATTAAAGAAACTGCATGGATGACAGGAAGTAATGTCAGAACCTTTTCCTGGCAGTTAACGTTAGCTCCAAACTCCAACAGTCTCTGGACAGTCTCAGTATGTCCCTGACGAGCATATTTATACATTTGTCAGAGGTTTTACTGTCTAGATTTATTGTAACTTGTACTTTATCTCTGTTTATACCCTCAACAGCAAGGAAATGTTCCTCTTGCGGTAGCTTCTGCAAAAGGACACACTGAGGTTGTCCGGAAACTTCTACAGTTAGGAGCAAACCCTAACCGCCAAAGACTTGTCAGTTTTTTTAATTCCAATTCAAGGTAAACAATGCACAGCATAATATCCGATGCCCATGCTCCTAGGAATGTTTGTTTTCTTTAACTCACTGGATGCTTTGTTCATTGACTTTTTGGAAGATAGTGTTAACGTAATATAACCAGTTCAAAATGGTAGTACACATTTGTGTATTACAGTCAAAGGGGGGTAGAAATTGCCAGAATCTGCCCTTTACTGTGAGATGTAGTACGTTCATTCTTATACTAGCCCAAGTCCCACCTCTCTACTAGAGGAATGCAACACATTTTTGGCGGGTTCAGCAAGCAGTTTGCACCTCCATACTATATATAGTGGGGAAAATGAAGAGAACTGTTCTTGCAGGCAATTGAAATAAGGACTCCTGGAAATTTTCTCACATTGTCTTATTGGTGTCCTGAATAGAGGAGCCCCACTACATTTATTATCATACTATGCTAGTTTGCATTAGCTCCATTCTCCAGCAGGAGTCTCATAGTCTACTGCCACGTGACCTCTGAGAGAGGCAATGAGAAGAGGAGTCCAACCAGTCTGCACTATATCAACACAGTACACAGTGATACCTGAAAAAGGACCCTCTGAATGGAGGACACCTTTCTATCAGGAGACACATTGGTTCTGGTCGTTTGGTATATACACGTTACCTGGCAACCACGCATTATGAGGTATATTTATTGGCTTGTAGTAACACCTACTTAGCTGTACAAATTTGCTGTCAAGCGCTTACGCAACACTTTCCTAAAAAGGGCGGCATCCATTGTTCTGTAGTTACTACAGAGACGTGTACCAAGTAGGTTTGATGATGGCAAGTATGCTCTATTCGTGCTGCGCGCTCATAGAGCACACTTGCCATCATCAAACCTATACATATCACCTCTGAATAAAGGACACCTCTCTATCAGGGACACTTGGTTCTGGTCCATACTAACTATGTACCTCCAAATAAGGATGCCTCTTAATTAAACAAAGTCCTTTATTTCACTGTGAAAAGTTGCTCATTGTTCATCCAACTTACAACCTACAACTTACTTGGTTGCTCAAAAAAACTTACGAGTGTCGCAATAATATGTGACAATTATGATCAAGGTCGTGGTGGTAAGTCGAAAACCATCTCTTGTTACTTTTAAAATGTGAAGTTCTGAACTACTTGACACTGTCTGGTCCTCAGGCAGGTTGTCAGATATGCGGGTTCAACAATCTACTGCAACGGCAACAAAATTCTACCTTTTCAGCTCTGAAGTTTGGATCAGCTCCAGTCTGTACTAGTAGGTCCACTACATCTGTGTGGCCTTCCTTACTAGCTACATACAATGGACTCCAACCATCCTGTGTAATTAATCAGAGTTGCTCTGCACCATTCAATGTAAGTCATCTGTGTTTCTTACCTTGTCACAGATGTTGACATCAGCTTTCTTCTCCAGCAGTAGTCTCACTATTGCCACATGACCTTCGAATGAGGCTTCGAAAAGTGGGGTCCGTCCATTCTGTGTTTATATAAGACTGTGAGTTATATGCACAACAGGATATTTGCTGGGGGGGGTAGTTTACATGTGTCAACAACTAGGTAGCGAGGTAGAAAGGCAAGGCAAAGCAAACAAGTCAACTACACCCAGGACAGCTCTTTCTAAAAGCTGCCCTGGGTGGGATTTGAACCCACGACACTCTGCAGTCTAGGCAAGCGCTATACCAACTGAGCTATACCAGAGCAACTCAGCTGGTAGGGGTTCGAATCTACAACACAACACAAGGTAAACCTCAAACCACTGTGCTACGGCACAGTAAACTCTCACTCAGTATGTAGGAGCAGACCGGGGTAATTAAACCACAAAAAATACCCAACTCCAAACTGAGTAGTATTATGTATGTGTCAACAACTAGGTAGCGTGCAGTTTACATATTCAGAGTATATTGCAGTAGTGTGAGTATGACTATGTAATCAGTCACTGAGGGATATATAACGATATATACTTTCCTACCCCACCACAAAAGTAGTCAAACATTATACACATAATTTGCGTGCATAGAGAGGGGGTGGGGGCTGGCAAACAATGCCACGATACTATCATCTTGTCCTGGTGGTTGGGGTTAGCTCGCGCCTCCAACAGTCTCTGAACTGTCTCAGTATGTCCATAGATAGAGGCATTCCTCAGAGGAATACTCCCACCCTTTGTAAATATGAGATAAGAGAGACTTCTTCAGTTAATATCAGTAAGAGAGACATATGCACAGTACTCAACAAAATCCGATGTTAGTCAATCTCACTCCGTAATAAGGAAAGCAAAAACGAGAGAACAAAAATTGTGTGAATGTGTGATATTAGCTGACATGTAGGCGTGCATGCAGCGAGGGTTACAGTACTTGGTCTGTCTATGTATCTAGAAGGCACAAGAAGTCACAACGAAGGGCGTGTATCAACTCCCGCATGCTATCTACTACTGTAGCTATCCCGTGTCAGACTCTCCACAAGCTACCAGTGGGAGACCACGAGTAACACATGCTTAGCCCAGCCCATCAAAGAGCGGTACCGCGCATGCACAGTTCGCTGAGGGTTTGCACTTCAGTGCTTTTCATTCATAAATGTGGCACTCACATTGGCTCGTTCAGTCTGGTGGAGCTACAGTATCAAATTTGATTCTAGGTAGCATGTCGAGTGTCAAATGTGGTCATTATATCACAATGGTCTGCTTGTTGGGGTTAGCTCCATAGTCCAAAAGTCTCTGGGACAGTCTGAGTGTGTCCTTTCTGGGCAGCTAACTCCAGAGGAAACGCCCCATACTGTGTGGAGGGATAAGGAGTAATGAGCAAAGTGAAACCTTTTAATACTGAAGACATTGAAGCTGCTAATTCCGAATTCGGCCTCTCTTTTCTCCATCCCTCTACGTACTTGCATTGTAATGCACGCTGTAAAGTATGTTAATGTTCCCACCTTATATACCTCTGCAGGTACCTTTACCCAGAGGCACAGAATGAAGTAATAGTATGGGGAACACACGTCAAATGTCCTTTGTATAGGTGTCCTTAAAGTTGGAGGGTCCTTTTTAAAGGTTATTCCTACAGCTCTTACTATAATGTGATACTAACGTCAGAGCTGGCCAGGTGGATATCAGCTCCTGCCTGGACTAGTAGGTCCACCATTTCAGTGCAACCGTTCAGGCTGGCTGAATTCAGAACACTGAACCCATCCTGTAGGGAGATAGAACACCTCCAGCTTTGGTAAAAAGACGAAACAAGAAGCTCGTTGAAGATTACAGTTAGAGGTCTCAGAATAGCTACAAGGGACAGCCTCCAAGAGACTACTATCCCATTAACTAAACCTAACGCGAATTCATTTATTATAGCTCCAAAAGCATGATTGACAGTACATACCTTTACGCCCACGTTCAGTCAGCTCTCCTCCCCACAGTAGTCTCATTATTGCCACATGACCCCAGGTCACAGCAGAGTAGAGTGGTGTGACGTTATCCTGCATCGTTCATTAATAATGTAACAGTTTTTGGTCCTTTGCAAGAGGTATAATCAGTGTCCTATACAATTCTTGTTAACCAAAAGTTCTGCTGTTAAAACAGCCACCATTACTTACTGTGAAGTTGTAATATTATGAGTGTACACACTGCTTTAAATTCAGTCCCCTGATGTAGTACCACATTATAGCTACCAATGAACATGTAATTTTTGCTGAGAAAGAAATATATATCCTCCTAAACCTGTCATATTGGCAAGTATCAACAACTTGGATTGACCAATAGCTAATCACCCTTGGCTGCATAGAGGGCACTATACTCACCTGGCTGATTCTGGAGTTGACATTGTGACAACTGTATGCCAGAAACAACTCAACCCTAGCCACATCTCCTCTCTTAGCTGCTTCATGTAGACTATGCATGTAGAAATACCATGGGATGCCAAGAGAAAAAAAGATGGGGAGCTCTGGACAGCTGTTTCAGGCTTGTTGGCCCTCACCAGCAGAGCATATGCAACTTCTCTCTCTGGCATCACCAGTTTATAAAGGCTACCAGGAGCGTAGCACTTCTGCTGACCATTTTCAAAAATTTCAGGTAATCGTTTGGCAAAGATGGCAAACAGACATAATATTCCACTTGATTAGAAAAAGAGAGATGCACGATGTTTATACATGCCTTTCCATTCCCATAAATTTCATTAAGGGCCATGGTTTATTACTGAAAAATTAGGTCTATACAACAGTGCACTTACCTCCAGCACTGGAAGCTGATCCTACTGTAGAGGGCAGTATTCTTCAGTTCCCCAATACTGTAGCGGGTGCACGGGGCGACTCCGGCAGGCCCGACGCCGTGAATGCTGGCCTCAAATATGCTTCATAGAGGCGGGTGTAGGGTCAAGAAGTCAGGCGCAGGGATTTGTGCCTGATAATTAAAACCCTCGGCGCGCATACGCCTGCGAGGGTCCGTCGGTCGCTGTCTGTCAATGTCACGTTTTCTTACACACGTTTCTGCCACCATACGCTGCGCAACAAACAGGTATAAATAGTGCGACACCAACGGCTACACTGGCTTGATTTAAAACATGGCGATTTTCGTAAAAGTGCCGTCGTTCAGAAGTTATGGCGTGAAAACCAAGCGACTGATCAGCTTTATATGTGTACATCGGGGAACAAGATGTCACAACGAAGGCGTGTATCGACTCCCGCATGCTATCTACTACTGCAGCTAGCCAGTGATCAGATCTCCGCGAGCTACTAGCGGGAGATCACGAGTGTGTAACGCATACTAATAGCCCAGCCCATCAATTAGCGGTACCGCGCACGCGCGGTTCGCCGAATGTTTGCACTTTCATAAAGCGCGCGTGGGACGTTACGTTCAGTTTTGGCAGCATGCAGTGCGCACGCTTTGGGGGCGGAGCTTGTAGACGTTTCAAGGGCGTGGATTGCCAACTGTAAAAGATGGGCTTTTATATTATCCTGTGGCTGGGGCGCTTGGTTGTTGCCTCTTGGAGTGGCTACGTTCTAGGGCATACCTGTTACGCCAACGTTGGCCGTCCATGCCAGTGTCGATTTCGTGTCCGAGCGCAGGAGACTCAACATTTCCTACTTCGAACAGTCAGTTATCAACTGGGAGGCTGCTATAGTTTTGGTTTCCGTCCCAATCTCCTTAGCCAGCTATAGCTACTCTACCTAACTGTACGTCAGTCCGGATAAAATGTGTGTTCCTTCCTATGTCTGCACAGATCAGCACTTTATTGCAGTCTTCATGAGCTGACTTTTTTGCAGGCTGATTGTCACAGCTGGGCGATCTACATTTCACATACAGTCCTTGCCATGACTTTCCAGTGCAATTCCAAAGGAACTGATGTGCGGGTATGATGGCTCATTCTCTCTGGTGACATGCAATGACATTGCTTACTACCCAGCCATGTTGAACTAGATATGGAGACACATGATACTCACTCCTCAACCTGTGTAGTGCACATGTGTATTGAGAGTCGGGATATTCATCTCAATGCACATAGCATTAATGAGCTTGGAGGAGTAATCACTTTAATAATGTATCAAAGGCATTGCAACAGAGTACAGCGATCAGCCCCGAACAGACCTAGCTACATTTGAATGGTTTGTATATACTAACTTTTTATGCATACCTTGCAACAAGGAAATTCCCCTACAAGTTGATGTGAGTCCTGTGTAGTTAGATTCCACAATTTCAAAGTCTTCTGAGCCACGCATTCGGGATGCGTAATGACTCATAGGGCCCACTATATACAAATGGGTTACAAAGGTCAAACAGCAATGAACACATTTACTCAGAGAGAAACTGTAAAAACAAGTAATAACCAGACCCAGACCAGACAGCTTGTGTATACGATGGTGTTAGTGAGCCGTGAACCTGGAGTAGAAAAAAGTAGAACTATAACACACATAGCCTTGTGGATGTGCATATGACCTCTGGTGATACTAAAGCAAAAGGTTTTCAAGGTAAAAAAATGCAAATGCGCAGAAAATACGTTTGGGACAGTGAGGGGAAAAACGTGCCAATGCACAGCAGAAAACAGTTAAAACGTGAAAAAAAACCGTGTTGCAGCTAGAGGAAAAATGTGCAGAAGAAGGAAGAAGAAGAAAGAAGAAGAAGAAACGCCCAATACGGGTATATTACCATATAAGTTAGAAGCCATACTTGTCGTATGTTCAGGAGTGATCACATTACTTCATCCGTTCCTCGTTCTACAACCCATCCCTCTTCTCCACCCTCCCCCCCTTCATACCTGCCTAGACTGTTCTTGTAGCTCATGTGTAGTATGTCTCTATGAAACCACCACCAAGAGTACTTGGAATTGGAAGGATAACCAACTACCACCACAACAATCCATGGACAATTAACTCTCGGTCTCCCTTGATCTTCACCATCCAGTACAATGTGGAGGACGAGATAAAAAACATCAGCGAATATACAAAACTGACGACGTTTTGGATGAAACAATGAGTAGTCTTATGTGACTTTCATGCGTTGTTGCAGATATTATACATGAAAATCACGTATAACGAAAAGTCTTGAATGAGTCTATTTTCCTACGTGGGGTATGAAGACATGGTCAAGGGTTGTAAGCTATAGACATATGTTAAGTCAGTCATGTGCAATGATGCCTTCCATCCATTAATTTTTAACCATTACCAAGCCGAGATGGGCATATATAATAATATAATAATATATATGCCCAGAGCCTCCACAAGCCTAAAGAATTTTTTATGGCTACAAATAATGAGGCGTTCATATGTTTTAATACATCGATTTTGCTATTTAAAGAATACCCATGGCGCAAAAGCTGTTAATCTCTAAAAAAATATTATGTGCATGAGTCAGGGGATTAACCCAGAATTCAATGATATATGTAAAGTCCCAAGATGTTACGACAGGGTCTAAGTGTGTTACACAGGTGTATTCTCGTTCCTGCGGAGATTTGAACTCGACACCCCCTCTGGCAACATCTCATTCGTGTATGGGCGACTGTGTACTTGACTTCTTCTTGTCAGTGTTGGTAATG